TTGATAGCAAACATTATTGTTTAGTAAAGCGTCGTTGTGAATGAAATCGATCGATCGTCTAAAATTATTAATCATTAAGTCCATCGATTTTCAACCATTACGAAATTATGTTTCTTATGTGTTACACTGCCTATATAACAAAGAGTAGTATGTAGTTACTTGTTTCAGTATCAAAAATAAACATGGGTGTTGTTTACTAATAAACAAAATCTAAAAAAATTAGATTATTATCAGACCTGATTTCTAAAAATAACTAAAATTGAAAATAATCAATAGTTTAACTCGTCAATAAACAGATATCTACTTCATAGTTGTGTTACGTCGCCACGTGATCAAGTAAGTGGTATAAACAAATAAAATATAAACACTTAAATTCTGTAATTTTATTACAATAATTCGTTATCAGTTTTGGTTTTGTTAAACAACCGTTTACTTTTAATGATGTATACAAGTTTAATTAATACAACACAATACCATGCATTTTATTTACAAGCATAATTTGTCTAGTGTGAATTACTGACGACATGTTGTTTAGATATCTATATTGGTTACAAAAGTAGTCCAGTGAACAACATCAATAATTAAAGACATCTACAAAAGTCACTCCCGGAAGGTGCTGTATCCAATCGTTCCAAAAGATTTCCAACTAAGTAAGGCAAATGATAATTTAACTGAAATAGTTGCTGAAGCCATTCTTAAATGTGCAGAAAGAGCGACAATTTCTTAAAGCGACATGTTTAACAAACAATACGCATTAAGAATTACTGCGTATTAATGAATCAATGTAGCCAAGAAGAACGACGGCTTACGTAAGAGAAAAAAAAGAGAAATAGGGTATATTTCTATATATCGGTGTACCCTCGGCGGCATTCGTTTCGAAATACACCTACTGACTCTCAAAATCTAACTGAATTCGGTTTTTTATTTTATCTCTGACCATGAGCTCCCTTAGAAAAAAATTCTGGATCTGCTATATGGATTTAGACATTTTATTGACATGTTCGACTTATATGAACCATGAAAAGTTCAATAGGTAAATGAACATCTCCGTTCTTTTCATCATTTAGCGACCGACAAGATTTTACTGAATTTGTCTTGTTGTATGTTACAGATTTATAATTCAAATCATAATTGGGGTTATTTCTCTTACTTTATTTTCGCTCGTTTACTGAAAAAACGACTGCTATCATTTTTTGTTATAGCAGCTGTAAATAGTGCCACCAGTGGTACAGGAACTTGTATTTTAAAACGGTTCGTGTTGTTTTACCTTTTTTTATTTTGACATCATTTAAAGGGTTTGGAAATTTTTAAATTCACTAGATTTTAGCATTTGATTAATGAACACCACATGCTAAAAGCAAAGGAATAAATCGTTAACATAGTATTGAACTAACACAATTATTTGTTTTGAATCTAAAAATCGCAATGTACAATAAGTTGCAAAAAAATATATTTAAAGGACAATCCGTCATGTACGATAATTAAGCTACAATTTTTTTTAAGGCATCCGATGTTAATAACACTCATTATCGTGTCAACGTTACACTCTTATGCATTTATATATCATACCACATCTTTCATTTATATCTACTGGGTATTAACATGGAAGGGAACAATGCATATCAGTCTAGTGATTATATAGGTACACGAGTAATTAGTCAATATGTATGCTTTAATTGGTAGATAATCCGGTATTATTAAGATACTTTATCATGGAGCAGGCAGCAAAAAAATTGAGAACAGAAGAACAAGCACAGGAAGGCACACCGCCGAACCATTCGTTATCTCCATTTAATTTCCCTGATTTAACCATCAAAATTGGTAATGAAAAGCTTTATATTAACAAATACCATTTAATGGAAGTGTCACCAGTTTTCCTAAAAATGCTAACCGGAGACTTTAAAGAGAAAGACGCCAGTGAAATTGAACTTCCAGATGAAAACCCAACAACATTTGCTCTTTTTCTACGACACACATTGCCTGGTTTTGAATTGCTTAAACTAACAGGTATTTTCAGATAAAGAATAAAAAGATAACTTTAAGTACTATGTTTGTTCATATAATTGGTATTTATGTCAGATGTCATCTGTTTCAGAGGGCAAATGTGAGACATTGACATCGTTTACTATTAAATTGTTGTCCCACCATTGTAACTCTAATTCATCATTTTGTGTTTTAAAAAAGTGCTCAAGTTTAAACAAACTTAAATGAACCCGCTTTAGTGCCTAAATGCTTTTAACTGACTGAAATAATAATGGTGAAAAAATACCTTCTGACCAACTTACACGTTTTTTCTGTTGGTATAATGGGGTATAAAAAATGTACAGAGGCACATAAAACTTGAGTGCTAGGTGTATATTTATTAAAATCTACAGTGATTTACTGCATATAGAGAAGGCATATTTATAGCGTTTTAGAATATTAAATCCTCATAAAAAACAAAATTGTAATGTATTCACCGGAACAGGGGTAATCTAATCAAATGATGTCCTATGTTCATAAGAGCTTTGACTTGTATAACGATTTTAGAACAGAACAAATGGTATAAAAGCAAGCGATTCCCAAATTTAGGTTTCAACACCTCGGTTATTGCATCTTTGAAATAATTTTTATTATTTACAGTAAAATTATCTAGTGGTTTTCTTAAGAACATGTCAGGAGCATATTACATTTCAAAAAGAAATTGTTTGCTGTGAATGATTACTAATTTGTTTTGCATAATAAATATTGTCTGGACAATAATCGTTTACATTATATCCTTTTACAGAAAATGAAGCTCATCTTATTTTACCATTGGCACACAAGTACCTCATGAACACATTAGTGTCAAAAATCGACCAGAGTTTGTCAGTCTATGTGAAGGAAAATAAATATCTAGAGAATTCACATAGCAAACTTGCTACTGAGAAATTAATGGATGATATTTTGAAAGCTGAACTCTTCAATTTACCAAATTTTTTAACAGAATGCTTAAAGAATGCGTATAAATTGTCGTATAAGGTGTGTATAAAAAGCCCGAAGTTTCATCGTATTTCAAGCGATACAAAATCAAAATTGTTATTGATGAGATGTGAAGAGTTAGAATTAGGAATTGAAAAATGTTTAAGAGTTTTAGGGAGAACGGATTTATATGGTCGATGTAAAAGTTGTGATGATAGAAAAAGGGTGGAAGAAGCAAGAAGCATACTGAATTCCAACGAGTTAAATAAGTCCAGATCGTTAGACTTATGACGATATAATGTATTAACATACTCTCGAGTTCAAAGAAAATGTTTTCCAGAATTCATAATGGACATTTCTGTTTAATAGGTATACCTTATAATTATTTGTTTTGTTTTCTATATGTTGTGTTTTGTTTTGTACTGTTGTTTGTCTTTTCGTCTTTTTGTTCACCATGACGTTATGAGTTTATTTTTGACTCATGAGTTTGAAAGTGACTGTTGTAAGCCTTTTTTTTTAAGTCAAAATTTATTGAATTACTCATGTTTTTATATTATTACAGAACTTTAATTGGACAAATGTTTTGATTTGTAAAACGAATGTTGCCATAATCAGTTTCCAAAATAAAAAAAAATACATGTTGATGAGACACACAGTTTAAATAAAATTTACTTCAAGGTCAAAGGGAATGCACATTAGTGCGCTATAAAGAATCAAGGAAGAACATATAATTGACAAATATTTAAAAAGAAACAAAAAGAGGCAGAATGTTAAAGAAAAACGAACAAAATCATGATCAACAATTAACTACGAAGAGACAAACAACAATACATACAAATTGCATTAAAAGATTAGGACACACGAAAACTAGCAAACACCGGGGTGAACTCATCTTGTCTGTAGTGGCAATTACATATTCCCTGTGAAGTCGCTTTCGGTGTTACAATCGAGGATATAATATTATACGGATATTCCATAAAGGTCATTCAAATCATGATGACGTCCTAATAATGCATAGAGAAATTCCTTCAGGAAGGGAGGATTAACCAACCTTACATTTTCTTTTTACATGCTCCCTGAATCGCGGCTTCAGTGCTAAGATTACTACCTAACTGTTACTGTGTGATACAATTTTTTGTTCTTAATTCTAAATGGCCTTTGACCACATTAAATTTTAGGGTTAAACTACAATTATACTTCTGCACCGAAGTTGGCGGATATACATTTTTCTGATAAATAACAAAAAATAATCACAAAAATACTGAACTCCGAAGAAAATTCATAACGGAAAGTCCCTAATCAAATAGCAAAATCAAATGATAAAACACATCAAACGAAAGGACAACAACTGTCATATTCCTGACTTGGTATAGGCATTTTTAAATGTAGAAAATGGTGGATTGATCCTGGTTTTATAGCGCTTAACCTTTCTCTTGTATGACAGTCGCATCAAATTCCATTATATTAACAACGATGCGTGAACAAAACAAACAGACATGATAGGTAAAATTGTCAAAATAGGGATACAGCAGTCATCACCGTGTCACAATCTCAATCAGAACAAAAACAAACAATTATATAGCAAAGAAGCACAGAAAAGCATATATCAAATTTATAGATGATATCGGATATGTTCCTTATGTCGTAACTACAATACCCTTCCCTTTTCACGAATGTGACTTACTGAATTAGACTATTTACCGGAATTGTAATAACATAAGCAACACGACGGGTGCCACATGTGGAGCAGGATCTGCTTACCCTTCCGGAGCACCTGAGATCACCCCCAGTTTTTGGTGGGGTTCGTGTTGCTTAGTCTTTAGTTTTCTATGTAATGTCATCTGTACTATTATTTGTCTGTTTGTCTTTTTATTTTTGGCCATGGCGTTGTCAGTTTGTTTTCGATCTATGAGTTTGACTGTCCCTCTGGTATCTTTCGTCCCTCTTTTTTAACAACCACGTTCATTGCTTACTTATTTTTGTATTTTAAATCAACCCATTAAAGGGTTGAAATATTTGAAGTCCTGTTACTGAATGGCTAGGTTCACATCAACTCTGGTTTAGAATCGTGTGTTTGACGTCAGAATGTAAACGTCACACAGGTAGAGATATAAAATAATTTTATCGTTCAAAGTTTTTTCAAAATTATAATAGAACAATAATATAATGGCATTATTATAGAACAATAACATAATGGCGGGATGTTTAAAAGTACAGAGCCACGACATATGTACCAAAAAAACACAAAAAATCACTAGTACAAAGCACACCAGCCAAAATGGAAGATAATACAGACAACACATTGACGGGATGCATAAGTACCGAGTCACGTCAAATGGATATCACAGAAAAACAGACCAAACAGTAAAAGTAATATTAATAATAGAACAAAGACAAATGAAAGAACAATATAACACGTTATTAAGATGATAAATAACGTCAGTATCATTGCTGCCTAAATTTAGTATCTGTTATTGTATATTTATTATTCTTTATCTCATTATAGGATTCTTGACAAAAAATTAATTTTAAAATCCGTCAGCCATATAATGAAAACGAATAATTGGTTATCTCATATATAAGGCATTCTTAAATACGCGTTGTTTTATAAACAGCAAAAGACATCAAAATCTGACAAATTCGTTCAATCCTACATCTTATTTAAAAAGCATCGTCTTGTTAATCTACACGGAGTGTATCGCAGTATTAAAATTTTGAAAATTGAACGATCTAATATATTAAGATTTTCAATCGGAGATGGATTGATTCAAATCTAGAATATGATAATCTAATAATCTAAGAAATAGCTAAACAATTATGATGTGGAATTTAGTTATTGCCTTTATCGTTTTGTCTTTCTCAATTCGGTTTGCTTGTATTTGTCAATAACGGAATTTTATAAACCTATCTACTAAATTGAAATCTAAATGGAGACAATATCTGAATGGTAGGGTTTTGCTGTTATGCCCAAACACTTTCTCATAAAATTAACAGTCCAGCAAAATATTCCTTATATTCTGTTAAATAGTTATCAATCGATTAAGCGAAAACAAATCTGGGACACAAACCGAAAATGAGGGGAACACATGATCATGAACTACAAGAGAAAAACAACGGAACAACAGAAACACTGAACTGCTACAAAAACAAACGTCAACGTACATAGAAACGGACTGTTTATTAACAACTGCCATATTCTTCCATTAAAACATCTAGAATAATAATATAGAATTGTGTTTATAATTGTGTTAATATTTGTATTTTGTCACAATGTCGTTTTTTTCTTATAAATAATAAAAACTGTATAAAAACAATTAAATTTGTGCATATAACTGCTTTAAACTAAAAAATCATATAAATGAACTAGCTGAATCATTATCTTAACTTTTACATACATATAGAAAATGAAAATGGAGTTCAAACCACAAACGGTAAGAGATAACACAATTTCTAACAAGACTAACAAAAGAAACATCCTAACTAAATACATGAATAGTTGATGTATAAATACCAAGACACGTCTAATAGCTATGCAAATTTACACATGACAAAACAGTCGTATATGAGAATGGGGAATAGTAGTGTAATCGTAGAAAAATCAAAAGTTTTAATGTTGCTTCAAAATTTCAGAGATTGTGATCTAGGATATAGCATTAGAGCTAAAGAATTATATCTGATTTACACTGCTGGTTGAATACATTTCGTCACAATATTTTTGAAAGCCATCTTTTACTGTCGAACGAATATTTATCAGGACTTTAGAAAGATGTTTAGTCGAACATCTTGATGATCCAGCTATGTATCGTTCTTTATAAGGAGTTTTGTGAAATTTTGGTATCCAGTATAATGACAGTAGATTTTCTTTTTATTCTATTATGTTTATACCAAAAGAAGGAAGGACAGATTTGTGATTTTGTAAAATTTCATTCTTTGTAAATAATGTTCAACAGCATGTAGGATTACCAGTTTTGCGGTTTATTCCAAGTTATTTTATTATACATTCCAAGTCATGGTTTTAACATATATAGATATTATCAGAGGCTTTATCTGCTGGAACAACAACATATTTGTCATTCAAAGAGGATAAAGCATCCACAACCTCCGGGTTCTTGAATGGATTAGAAACCCTTGTGCTAATAGTACATTGCAGTTTCTGTATACGTTTCTGAATACATGATCGAATAGCTTTGACCCATTCGGACAAAGTGTTCAGTTTTTGTTCATCTGGCTCGCCCTTTACCCATTAAGTTTTTTTTCTAATCCGAATTGAAGGACAAGTGTGCTATTAGATACAGAAATAATTCCATTACAATAATTCTCAAACTATTTTTGTATTTCGTCACAAACCCACAAATAACAAAATTATCATAGAACAATAACACAATGACGGGATGTAAAAGTACAGAGGCACGTCAAATGGATACCACCAGAACAGTAAAAGTAATATTCATAAAGACAAATAAAAAAATACTATAACATGTTATCAAGATGATTAACAACGTCAGTACTAAGAATCTATACTTAAAGACCATGGTGTATTATTTGTATAGCTGATACGGAAAATTTATCAACAATGTCTTGGTACCTTTCGGTGAACTTTTTTTTAGAAAAAGGACGAGACGTTCTTTGACATACCCCTAGTCCATCACCTTTCTGCTCAGTCACTGGTCTGCTAAATAGTTCAAAAATTTACACCTGTGCGTAGGAACTGTTTTGTTTTGACAATGTACTACTTTCCAGTATGTACCTTTTTGACCGGGCCCGATTACATGGTGTTACATCTTACAAAGTCAATCCACATAATTTTTGTAAAGAATTCCACTCAAGCCGGTGCTAGGAACGTCTTAAACTGGCAGTGAGGTGTTGCTCCGTGTTGAAGGACTGAGTGTGACTTTGAGAAGAAGAACAGCAATAAATGCGCTGTTTCTTTGCTTTTTGTGTTTTTTTGTTTTTCTGCATGTACTGATTTTTTTGTCATGGATAGATACCCCTATATCCATTATTTTTCTACTAGATTGTAAATGTAACCATGTTTTCATTTTTGAATTTCTTAGGTAAAATCAAGTCACCATGCTGTATGGTTACATTATTTACGAAAGTAGATTGTCTATAAAAAGATATAGATTTTCAGAAAAATAGAACATCAATAGTGCTTGTAACCGATCATGCAAAAGAATACCAATTTCAGAAATCATTTGAACATTTTTATCAAATCAACAAAGAATACAAACGTTTTCGAAAATTTGCATCACGTGCTATATCAGAACTTTACAATGATTTAAGATTTCAGTCGTTTCAAAACTAATTGTGCTATATTATATTTTGTAAACTATATCAATCATTAGTTACTTGAATGATTATTTCCATTAAATGTATGTCTGCTCCGTAAAATTAAACTGAACGACGCTAAAACTTTCTAAATCAAAGAAAACAGAAAATAAATTTAGCAGATCAAATAAATAACTAACGTGAATCATAATTGTCTTTTAGAAAGTTCAATAGCGTATGTTTGGCTATAAAGTGCCCCGACATGAAAAATTTTAAACAATTAAATTAAGAAAATAAAAGCCTAATTTATAACAAAACAATTTACGGAAAACAAATACGATGGACATGAATCAACGAAAACAACAGAACTAAAGGCTCCTGATTGGGACATTAACATAGAAAATGTGGCGGGGTAAAACTAGTTTGCTGGTATATTTACCCCACAACAAAACAGACACTAAATACAGATCTGAGAATACTCGCAGTTCCTGACAGCTAGTTCAAAACCAATAACAACTAATAAAATCATATATCTTGGACTAAAATATTAATCAGGACACATCCAACATCTAATGGATTCAGTGTAAAAACGTCATTCATAGTCATAGAAAAACATGATATTGTGCAATGCCAAAAAAAAGTTTTTGACAGATTGAAAGAGTTGGTATTGCTTTATTTCATAAAAAAGAATGACCAATGTAGATACAAGTGTCTTGTCTTAGGGAGGAATAAATCCTACTTTGAAAAGAATCACTCTGATTCAAACAAAAAATTCGCTGAAACAGACATTATCAAGATACTTCATTTCTTGATTAACAACATATTTGTTACGTTTGGAGGACGTATTTTTCAACAAACTATCGGCATTCCCATGGAACCAATCGTGCCCCTCATCTTGCTGTCTTGTTCCTTTATTCTTATGAGGCTGGCTTAATACAGAAACTTGTAAGGAAGAAACAACAGAAGTAAGCAATATCCTTTAACTTTACTTTCCGCTTTATAGATGATGTTCCCTCACTAAATAATTCAAAATTTGGTGACTATGTTGAACGCATCTATCCCGTCGAACTAGAGATAAAGGATACAACAGATACAGTTAAGTCTGTCTCATATCTTGACTTACATCTAGAGATTGACATTGAGGGTCGATTAAAAACAAAACTTTACGACAAAAGAGATGATTTCAGCTTCCCAATTGTGAATTTTCCATTTTTATTTAGCAACATTCCAGCATCGCCTGCATACGGAGTATATATCTCACAATTGATATTCCCAGGCTTGTCTTTCCTACCATGATTTCAATGATAGGGGATTGCTGCTCATTAGGAAGCTATTAAACCAAGAATTCCAAAAAAGTTGAAATCATCCCTTCGTAAATTTTACGGACGCCATCACGAGTTGGTTGACCTTTATGGAATATCTGTTTCACAGATGATATCGGATACGTCGTATGTCGTTACTACAATCCCGTTCCCTTTTCACAAATGTGACCTACCGAACTGATTATTTACCGGGTTTGTAATCACATGAGCAACACGAAGGGTATCACATGTGGAGCAGGACCTGCTTACCCTTCCGGAGCAACTGTGATCACCCCCAGTTTTTGGTGGGGTTTGTGTTGCTTAGTCTAAAAGTTTCTATGTTGGGTCGTGTGTACTATTAGCTGTCTGTTTGTCTTTTTCTATTTTAGCCATGGTGATGTCAGTTTATTTTCGATCTATGAGTTTGAATTTCCCTCTGGTATCTTTCGCCCCTCATTTGTAGTACATTCAATATGCATATGTATATAACAATAACATTCAGTATGGTTTTAATCTACTGATAAGAAAATCAATGTTCATACCAATAGAAACAACATTCAAAGATGTAGTTACAGTTCTGAATTGGTAATCTTCTAGAATAACTTTATTAAAAAGATTGATAGGTTTAACCAGATCGTATCTTAATTGCTGGTTTCGGCAACAATATTCCCGCCAAAATTATAATGTGCTATTCCCTTTGAAATTAGGTTTTTTTACATGTAAAATCAAACTTGCATACCAAATATTTGTATCTATGGAAAAAATTATTAAAGATTTTAAGAAATTTGTGGCAGCGAAATCCCCAGTTATACATAGATTACTCTAAATGAAATTCATAACATCCCTACAAACACGGGCATAGCGAACGTGTTGTGATATATAAACACCGTATGAAAATAACTGTGTCTAGTAACTGTTCGTAATGTGTTTAAAGCTCAACATGGAGAGAGCCTGAATATTCAAGGTAAAAACGGTACCAGCATAATCAAGAATGATAGCAAAAAGACCGAGCTTCAAGAGATTGCATGCCATTTAGATTAATTGTGCGCATAGATAGACTTGATACTGATTGCAGTAGTAAATGTTTTAGGATAAAGTTAAAATGTTGGTGCAAAGGTATCGCGAGGGTATCTAAATTGCACCTATTTTGACAGTTTTTTTCCACTACATTTATTTTTGATCCAGACAATGGTTTCCATTTTGTATTTGTTTTGTAGATGTATATTAATGTATTCCTATTAAACCAAGAGTTCCAGGTGAAGTTGAAGTCATCCGGACGCCATTACTAGTTGGTTGAACGTTATGGAATATCAGTTTCACGGATAACGGATATGTTCCTAATGTAGTAACTTCAATCCCATACCCATACCGGGTTTGCAATAACATGAGCAACACGACTTGTGCCACATGTGGAACAGTATCTGCTTAGTCTTCCAGATCACCTGAGATCACCCCATTTATTGGTGGGGTTTGTGTTGCTCCGTCTGTAGTTTTCTATGTTGTGTTTCGTGTACTATAGTTCTATTGGTCTTTTTTCCTTTTTTAGCCATGGTGTTGTCTGTTCATTTTCGACACATACTTTGAATGTCCCTCTGGTATCTTTCGCCCCTTCTTATTTACTATATGGTTACACACATATAATTTTGAATTCTTATTGAATCATAGAAAAATAGGTTTGAACCGACCTCGAAACGATCCATCATTCTGAAATGAGGAGTAACCAAATTGCATCCATACTTAAATTTACATCCTCAAAATCCGAATAATAGATGTTTTAGGTTTATTTCTTCAAACATTTAGAACAATTTGACATGTGTCCATGCTTACTATTCATTTATTTTTTTTTAAATTGGGCGGTCGTAACATATTTTTTGACTTTAGTAGACGTTGCATGCATATGGCGACGTTTCCGTAGAATTTACCTTTTCCAGTGAATACTTCATCTGTTGATATATGTACTGTAAACGTTTTGTGAATATTTAAATATATTTACATATTTGAAAGACGAGCATAATGTGGAATTAAAAAATACAAATCGTTTAGTCCCTATGTAAACTAGGTTTTTTGCTGATAATTTTACTAAATAGGTGCAATTTGGGTACTCGGTGCAATTTTGACGTTACAGAAGCAATATAAATTTTCTCACAAAAGTGGCAATGGGAAATAACTGGCTAAATTGTTATCTTAGATTATAAGAAAAGTATGACAGATAGAAATACAAAGGGTTATTATGAGATTTTTTTTCTATGTATTAAAATCACGTTGTATGGTGTTTAGTGTATATGTTTGTATTGATCATTTGTCTCACACTATGCAGTACTCGAGCTAGTCAACAAACAAATTACGTTTGTGTTGTGCTTTTCTTTAAGTAGTTGGTTTTAATGTATTTAGTAATTTATACGCGGACTATTTTAGAAAAGAATTTTATAAATCAAGCTGGTACCCTATGTTTTTATTTGTTTTTCTTATCGCTGTACTTTTATTTAGTTGAGAGACTTGTAACACCCGCTCTTGTTGATAACTGTACCTGGATAAATGTTAAAGAACAACTTTATAACCTAGCTACACAATTTTTTTTCATGGGAAGACTACATCTATACCATATTAAATTTTGATTTGGATTTGGATGCCTTTTGGGATAACAATTAACTAGATTTACAACGAAAATATATAATTTGTTGCTGTACATGTGCAGGTATAATTACTCGATCATTTAGTTTGGTAGATTACTTTGTCAATACTAATCCTTTAAGTTACTGTGTACTCTGTTTGTATCTAATCACTGCACTGATTTTGATCATGGGTCCTTAACATGTATTTTAAAAATACAAATCAAGATAAGGTGAATTATAATTGTTAAACTGTTTTATTTTAAAAGACTGTAATACTGACCTAAATCTATTGTTCAGAAATTTTAAGATCATGATAAAGCTATCTTCATGTGATGTATTTAAGCATTAAAGCGTTATAGATGATATATATTTGTTATCATTAATAAAGCCACTAGATCTTACATTAAAGTTGTATTAATCTATAAATTTGATTCAACTAAATGGGGTCATATAATTTCAATCCTGTCATTGTCTTTTTCTTGTTTTAGTTACTTTTGAAGCGGTAATTTCATTTAATTCGTTTTAGTCCGAAATTTCCATCACATTGTGGATTAAATCCGTTTGAAGTATAAATTATTAAAAAATCAGATTAGCAAATTACGTTTCTTATTTCTTATTTTTTATTTATCTATAAAAAAAAAATGACTTTTTGTTTAGGTAAGGTAATTAAATAACTGTCTTTTAGATATAATATTGAAAATTAGATTGACTACTAGTATGTAATTAAAGGTACGGAATGAATGAATTGACTTTGACAGCAATATGTCAATTGTTATCTTCTGCACAATTTAAATATGAGTTGAGATCAACTAGTCACGGTGTTTCCTTTGTGTTTGAATGAATGATTTTGCTTGTTTTTATTTATTTACCATAGCATAGATATCTCCCTCTATATCGGTTTGATTGTGTGAATTACCTATTCAATATAGACAGCCAATAGGCATGAACTTTTATTAAAGACAAAACTGCTGAACACAAATTTTTAAAGTATTAAAAACAATAGGGAAACATTTTGAAGATTTAAAGAATTCAAACAGAGAACACAGGTATGTATTTTATCTTTGAAAGTCGTTTTTGTTTTTCATTAATGATCTTGTTGAATTAAATTGACGTAAGATACGGTAATTAATTTTATTTATATTGATTTATGAGTATAATCAATAGGATGTCATCACAATAACGGCTAATCGTTATGGACGACGTGTATTTAATTTTTAAACTATCTGTGTATTTTAATTTGAATATGATATTTCCTGCAGCATGTCTGCATTACAAGCGATATCTATAAACATCAAAATTAGGCGAAAATCAATACAAGAACAGACTGCTTATGTTTTTTTTTCTATTAAAGTGTCTTACCTTTTATTTCTTCTATTGAATGAGGCGTCTCTTTTGTATACTTGCGTTTGAGCTGCAACACACTTTATAAACTGCTGAATTTTTAGTTTCTGGTTTTTTTTACCTGTTTGCCTGAGCCATATGATATGAAACTTGTACCCAATGTTTATTACCACAAAACACAGATCGAGTTCGAAATTGTGTTGGGTAACTTTTACTGTTCTTGAGTTATGCGCATTATAAATGGAAAAGTTGCTAAATCTATCCGTTTTCGTTCTCTATTCTATTGTTTGCTTTTAATTTGCCTTAAACGAATGCTATAAAACTTATGACAGTTTTCCATTCGTTTGATGTGTTTGTGCTTTGACATTTAATAAGGGACTTTCCGTTTTGGATTTTCCTCGGAGTTCAGATTTTTTTTTATTTTACTTTTTACACAATGCATATTATAACCACAAAACACAAATCAAGTTCGAAAATGGATGGCGTCACAAAAACAATCAGTACTTTGAAAGAGGGACGAAAGATACCAGAGGGACAGTCAAACTCATAGATCGAAAACAAACTGACAACGCCATGGTCAAAAATAAAAAGACAAACAGACAAAAAATAGTACAGATGACACAACATAGAAAACTAAAGACTAAGCAACACGAACCCCACCAAAAACTAGGGGTGATCTCAGGTGCTCCGGAAGGGTAGGCACGAATATTTACAAGTGGAGGCATTTGTGGCCCATAGACACATTATACATTAATTTAAAAATATTACGGGACAAAATAGAAACAGATCCCTTAAAATCGATTATTATGTCTCAAAATAATTTGTATGTATTTCGATAAACAGCATCTTTGCTTTCATTAGTAACTGCTTTCAAATTCACACAACTGATTTGAAAACACCTGTATGCTTTTCTTGATATGTTTTGCTGCATATTATTATCAACATCGCGAAAACAACGTGTTCAACTTAAACTTGATTCCTGGTAGTAATGATGAGTTAGTTCTTTCCCCTTGTACTCTGTCGTAAGTGGTTTGACTGTTTTACCAAGGAATGCCCGACTTGTTTCATTTTTGTTCGATTATATGCCTTTCAGTGAGCTGTATTTTGATAAACTCTAAACGATCGAAATTTAAAACTTAAATATAAAGTCTATAAATAAGAAATATAATTTTGCTAACAACGATTTGTAACTATGACGATAATCTTGTACTTTACTATTTATTTAGTTCGTCTTGTAATATTTTGATGTTTCTATATCAAACTTGAGCCATATGAATATGAAAAACAATGTAATTTTTGGCGAAATATTATACCATTTGATCGTGTTTAATGTATAGAGAAACATAAGTATAAATAATATAAATGAAAAGATGTGGTATGAGTGCCCATCTGAACGTTATAGATACCTTCCTCGATTAAGTATTTTTTTCAAAATTTTAATTTCGAGAAAGATGTTTTACTTTTTTTTTTAAATCAACCGATATTTTCATATTTCATAGATATTCTCAATTTGCAGCAAAGTTTATCGCGTACAATGGTATTATATTTGTCTTAAATTTGTAAAAAAAAAACAGATTTCAAATAAAAATTACATGTATATCGTCTGAAAGAATTCTATGTTAAAATCATTAGATTTTACTGTCGCAAATTGAGTTTACCTAGCGATGCGGAGGGGAGCTAGGTAAACGGATATTTGCGACAGTGAAATCAAGATGTACGAAAGGCCAAGCTTAAAATGCAATACAGTAATCTCCATTCTAATGCCACATATTAAAATAAATTCCATTTAATAAATATTTTGGCTGAAAAATGCAATGAATTAAAAAGTCCGCGAAACTGTTGCATCGTCCTTAGAAAGAAAATGAGTAGTCCAGATTAAAGGTCAACGACATGTTTTAAATGTTTACACACGTGCCCCCTCTTGACAAAAGAATTAAATCAGAGTGAGAATATGTGCTTCTTGACGTCACATCGAGTTCTACTTGAATTAAAACGGAGGGTTTTCACATTAGAATAGAATAACAAAATTAATGTACATCTTCATTAAACATTCAGTATAGATCCAAGTCCGAATGTTCTTACAAAACTGACAAGAAAATGCACACAACAAGTATATTAGTCATGAAGTACTAGGTTCTATAGACAATAACGAACATTAATTTTATAAGTTGAAGTTGATAGATTTTTTTTTCACAGGCAGCCGAGCAATAAATCAACCAACCAATCAATAAATAAATCAATTAATCATGTTTCGAAACGAGAGACACTGATTTATATATTGTCTTTTTATTGTAGGCTTTTAAGGTACCATATCCATGGAGATAACAGCAAAAAAAAGAAAACAGAGAAAGCTGAGGAAGCTGAGAAAGACATCCAACCAAAGCATATATTATCTCCGTTCAATCTTCCGGATTTAAAAATTAAAATTGGAAATGAAATACTTCATGTCAACAGAGACCAATTAATGGAAGTGTCGCCAGTTTTCCAGACAATGCTAACAGGAAAGTTTAAAGAGAAGAACGCAATCCAGATTCACCTTCCTGATAAAGATCCAAAAGCATTTGCTCTTTTTCTCAGGCATACATTACCTGGTTTTGAAGGGTTGATATTGACAGGTATTACTATAGAATTAAAGACAAAGTCTTGTTAATCAATATAATATAAAAACAATTCATAGAGATTTGAATTATACTGATTTTGCCAAATGTTTGCCCTTGATTCCGATAATTTTTTTTACCTCGCGCTATCTCTCGGCGTAAAATATGTATATTCTAATTGGTTAATTATGGTAATTCGTTTGGATCAAAGCGCATTAGGTGAAGGCAAATATTTGCTTTTCCAGTAATTAAACATACTATAAATATTGACGTAAAGACAAAGAAAACTGAATTAATGACAAAAAAGTCATGCTTAAACGATTTACAATAACATTCGTCGACGGGAACTTCCTCAGGTAAAGTTAATCTCACATGGATTTTTCTATTTTTAGGTCTTTTTTTTTTTGGTCATATAGCTCTTCAACTATATCAGTTCTTATATGTCATTGCCTTCAAATATTTAGCTTTTAGCGTTCTTGATGAGGGAAAATTCAAACAAAAACTTTGGTTGCATGAAGTTTATAACGTGTTATTTTCATTTGAACTAAACTGTTCATAATTACTTGCTGTTATTTAGGATAAATATTTGTCATCGTTGTATTTTTTGGTTGGTTTTTTTTTGTGATTTGATGAAATTTGTACATTCTTTTATGTAGAATGTTTATATATATATCACGTCATCTTTCAATAACCTCATCTACACCGATTGACTTCGGGTAACTAATTCAGAAAAAAAAACATACGACATAGGAGTATGATGGGAATAGCCCAAAACATTCATGGCATTGCCAATAACTGAATATATTATATTCATATTTTAACAATTTGAAACATTGACATCAAAAGCTATCAATCGTTAGTTAATAATTTTGCTCTCATAATTATTGTCTGCAATCATTTAATCTTACTGAAATCTAATCTTTTTGAGCTAAAGACATGTGACATGTGGTTGCCTATTACTTCCACGAGTTCTAGTAAGCGAAGTTCGATAGATCTAAATTTTAATTAGATAGCTTTTCGTTTTTTTCAACTGTTTACGTATTCTTATGAAATAATCGTTTTCTTTCCTTGATTGATGACGTAATCCATTTGACTGGCTGAAATGTTGGTATTGTAATTGTCCTCACGTTGAATGAATTAAATCAGTAATTAAGGTTTCAGAAGGGTTATACAATATTAGATTATATACCGTGTTGAACCCGAATTACAATACCTATTATGGATTACACCTGCCTTAATTAATTGTCCTTCTGACAGATCTACCCAAGAATATATATTTCGACATTTGAAATTGACCCTGACAGTGATATCAAAAGACTGACTCGTACATTTATACAGATCTGATAGTTCTACCTTCGGACAGTTCTTGGATAAAGAAGGTTACCATTGAAAAAAATCAAAACTGAAATCAAATCATGATTAAAGAAAAAAATCTTATTTCTTAATAAGAAAGATACTATTTTCATCAAATGTCTAGATCCGGAAAAGTTCTTTTGGAGTATGAAAGGAATCAAGTTCAGTTTTAAATTTTTACAGCAGATGAGTCAATGCCGCTTTTGAGAGACTACCAGTCTCCGAGAGTATTATCTGCTCAGTAGTCAGTCATTTACATGTAGTACTGACATGATTTATAAAAAAAACCATCTAAAATTGTTCATTTATGAATTATAAACAAGTGTGTCAAGTGTCTAGGGCAAGTTTTACTTTAGATGGATTTGGCTATTTTTATTGCCTTTTTTTTGTTATATATCTCTTAAACTGTGTTTCGATCTTTTTACATCATGGACTTAAATATTTGGCTTTGGGTGTTTTCTATGACGATGACTCAGAAAGTGTTGTTTTACTTTTTTATGGCACTGAATAGATACCTCTGCTCTTGGACCATCAGTCACCGCGGTTATCATATTCACAAGCTCAATTGACAGTACGTAGGTACTGATAAGATTTATAACTATCAATAATAAATTGTCCGTATATAAATTTATAAATTATGAATACTCTTCGGCGAAGTTGACCTTAGATAGGTTTCGGATTTATTGTAGATCACTTTTGGTCATATAGCTATTCATCGGTTTCCGTTCTTGTACATCACCGGCAATCAGATATTCGGTTTAAAACGTTGTTGAGACAGTAAATCTAGAAAAGCGCTTATGACTCAATGGCATTTATCAAGTGTTTTTTTTTTTTAAAGATTTCTATTTGACAAATCAATCTATAATTGCTTAATGTGTAGCTATGTCAACAAATGATTAAGAAAACTATTTTGAATGACAGTAGTCCCGATTAGTTTTAATAAAAATAATTTATGTATTGTTCAGTGAAATTATTGATTCTTTGAAAAAGCTATACGTATCGTAAAAATGAAGCAATGGTTTCTTGGGTTGTTTATAAGATCAGTTCACAAGCATCCTTGTTTTCTAACATTCTACGATTTGATGGAAATAATTTGTTTTTGTCTAAAATAAGCACGCTATCACAGTATGATCATAACATTCTTTTACAGATATGACAGCCCGCCTTATTCTACCATTGGCAGATGAGTATCAGACCAATACATCATTATTAAAAATAGATCGGGTATTGGCGGAACTTGCGGAACGAAAGGCATATCCATCTGCAGACGAGTTGACTGATGAAATCTTAACAGCTGAAACTTACAATCTACTATCATATTTAGAAGTGTGTATTGAAAAGGCATCAAAATTCTCCCATAAAGCGTTTATAAGAAATCCAAAGTTTCATTGTATATCAGATAATGCAAAGTCAAAACTTTTCTTGCTGAGATGTAAAGATATAGATTTGACAATTGACAAATGCATGAAGGTGGTGAAAATGTTGACGACGTAGTATGTTATCATTGCAAAGACAAGTTCCAGAATTTCTTCAAATCAAATATTATCAATATATTCAAAGAAGTAAACCAAAGCAAATAGTCCAAAATTCAAGTGTTTGATTCAACTTCAGCTAATATTTGTATGGTCATTAACAGCCAAATATCTGTTGTTTTTGCCTAAATATAAAGTTTTAATCCTGCGCACTTATTTTCATATATATGTGATACATGTCATTTTACTATCGTGAGATCTTCATTTGTGAACCTTGCCTGGTAAAACGTCCATAGGGCATTTAAAGAAACTTTCATATTTTTATACCCCTGCAGCCCAGAAGTTGTAGTTTAACCAACCCGTGGTGTGATTTGTTTTACTGTGTTATGTATTTTGAAATTTACGTTAAATTAAGGTATTTTTTTAAAAAAATTACAGTTTATTAAGGCAACAGTGGTTTACCGCTGTTCAATAGTAATAAATCGATTAAGCGAAATAAATCCGAGTCACAAACCCAAACCGATGAAAACACATCATTTATAAGAGGTACTATATATTTGAGGCAGAATTTTGATGTTTTTTCATAAACATTTGTCTTTAAGGGAAAGAAACATCGTAGATGTGGTAAATTCCCTTGCTATTTAATGTTTATTCAAGACTGTAAATATATTTCCTTAATAATATTTCTTTAACATTTATTCACCTTTTCGTATTCATATATTTTTTAGGTTGAATTTTTATATAATATTTGCTGGACTTTACAATATCATTGTGTTTTTTTTTGTTTTTTGTTTTTTATGGAACTAATTTAAGGCAAGTACATCTATATGACATGACCCAGTTGTGTCATGTGTATTGTGCTTCAGCTGCACGCATCTTATTATTTTTCATGTTTTTAACATTTAGTGATTATTACCTCCTAAACCGTGTTCCATGAATATAACAACAACTTTGATTTAAGCGTGCACTTGGTTCATAAACAACAGTCTGTTTAACCAACCAACAATTATCTAGTTTACCTGTTTTAAACATACTCTGCTTGTCATATTTTTGTTGTGTTCAGGTTGTAGGACAAATTTTACCAATTTTTTTTTTAAAAGATACCGTACTCCAACATGTGTAAGTTAATTTCAAAAGGGGATAGGTCCATCAAATGTTAAACTTTATCAACTAACGGAACGAATATAAAACAATTGTCATATATCTGACTTGTTACAGGCATTATTTGTAGACAGTGATGGGTTAAACCTGGTTTAGTAGCCATTTGGATTGTTAAAAGTGCTTTTAATCAGGAAATGCTTTTTTATCAAACCTTATTTTAACCTTGGTTTGAATGTTTTTGAATTTGAATTTGAATATCAATACGATGGCTTTTGTGTTGTTTTATTAGATGAATAAATGATTAGTAATGCAATGATAATGGATAATTATACTTTTGCGCAAATTATTGTATAACAAATTAAAACAACACTGTCATTATCATGCGTCCGAAGTGCTTTTCTGGATTGTCCTTCGTCGACGAACTGATCACTATTGGTGTTACACCTCACTGTTATAGTATGAATATCAATCAACGTGTTGTTCCCCTTAATAAATAAAATAAAAAAAACATCTTATTATCTTTCATTGTAAGTGATTAGAGTCCAATCATATGAATCCTCCGTAAAAACACTATGATAATCATTGAAGGTCGAATCACAAATACCTATGCTGCAACAAAATCGTACTTTCTGATTAATTTCAAATGTGTTGTTATTTTTTCAATGTGGCATAAAGAGCAGAATAATTCAGACCCTCAACAAAACCGATATAAAATTCCAAAACGTACATGTATTGCCATAAGTAGCTAAGGTTATTTATTCAGGGGGAAGACAATCAAGAAAAACATTAAAAGTTATATAAACAGATTATCTATAGTTATGACCATATGAATGATTATCTAGCGCATTTCATGAGTGCTGACTTGCTACTGGGCTTGTGATGCCCTTGAGGATGAAACATCCACCAGCAGAAGTTTCCACCCAGTGGCTGTAAATAAACTCATAATAGATACCAGGGTTTAATTTTGTACGCCAGACGCGCGTTTCGTCTACAAAAGACTCATCAGTGACACTGGAATTGTCTTCAAATAGAAATATACCTATACGGAATCAATTTTTACTGAACATTTTCGTATTTTACAATTTATCTCTACTAAAGTTTCCGCATTAGAGGAATATGAATACAAATCTTCTCTTCGAATAAGGGCAATAACTGCTATAGGAAGTCTTTTAAAGATAACGGCCTTATAGTAATTTTTGATCTTATAGTTCGTGTCATTTAAATGATAATTTTCACTTTCTCTACAGACTACAATTATGTTCAAGATCGTTACCAAAAGCATGGAAATTTGCTCAATATAGACAATTCAGGGGCAGTAATAGTAAAACTGGTGGTCCGATTTTTCAAAAACATCCGCATGAAATAGATAAACTTTATCCTGCTGATCACAATTTCCCATGACAGTTTCGCTCTTACTGCTTTATTATTGAGATATAAGCCAATAAACTATAGTTTATTTTAGGAACCTTCGCGTCTATCTTTTTTTATGAATCTAATCCCACAATACAATTGTTTATACTAGATTCGCAAAAAAAATGTGTGTTTAGTTAATAATTTTGCCTTGTTATTTCCCAAGGGATGATCTTGGTTTTAAAGTTTCCGACAACAGACAACAATGATTGATCGACTTTAGAGTTATTAATTTTCTTCCAAAGGCTTTATGGCCAGATGAACTAAAAAAACATAAGTCATTAACTACTAGTTAACAGCATGGCCAAAACAGAACAAACAAAAAAAACAAGAAAAATGGTCTAAAAACACTTCACAGAAACTGGAATGAGCAACACCAAACCCATCCAAAAGCTGGAGTAAATTGATTCCAACTGAAGTTTCTAACTCCATAGTTGCACCTGCCCTATTACTAAAGGATATGATAGCACAACTACAGTTTCTGAAAGATACCCGTGCTTGCTTGTCTTTTTGGTGGTAGTTAGTTTAATTAAATCAATGATTATTTTTTCAATTGCATTACTTAAGTTTTAAAATTGTTTAAAGCTCTCTCTCTCTCTCTAAGCTATTTTAGTACTTCTTGTCAATTTGGTTTGGAGATACAAATAAAATTATTTATGGACCTTATCAAATAGATTGCAGCTATAGCAGAAAAAATTAAAAATACACATTCCTTAAACAATGTTAAAAAAAGGATAACTTTATTTTTTTATAACATATACTGTACGTATACATAACATCATTTTTTTTCTAAAATATAATGATAACTAATGGACAGGGGATATATAGAGGTAGTGCTGTGGATTTCTCAAATCAAAACCAACCAAACAAAGGCTATATAATCATTTCTCTAATTCTAACACGATTTATCCTGACTTGTTGATTACTTTTATTTATTCGACGTGTGGTTCGTTTGATCTCAGTTTTTCATTGATTGAAATTCAATTATGACGTCAAATTTTCTTGAAAAAAAGGCAACCATGCCTGATAACGTCACATAAAAAAACCACATCGAAAGGAAGGATTGAAGTTGTCTGCATATAGTTAATAAATCATTAGAGAAAGAGATTCCACCACCAAATCTTGTGCAATACAATATTTATCTCGACAGTAAATTTTAAAATATTTTAAACGCTTGGCAAGCCTCGCCTTTTTAATGTAAAATGTAACTGTCTCGAGTGGATGAATATCGTATCACACACGATACAGTGGTTGAATCTATATTTTTCTATTTCACCTTTTCCTGTCCTATTGATTATTTATATTTAATCAACATATGGTTTGTTTGATCTCAGTTCTTGATTTGGTCAAAAGTCGATTATGACGTCATACTTGAAATCTTCTCTGAAATTCCCATTTTGATGGCATGAAAAAATGTGATCATGCCTGATGACGTCACATAAAAAGAACATTTTTATTTTTGCAGATCATTTCAAAGGAAGGATTAAATTTGACTGTATATTGTCTATTTTTGTTAAAAATCATTACAGACACAGATTCCACCACCTAATTTCTCTTCAGTACACCATTGCTAATTCACAATTCATTATTTACAAACATAAAGATGCAAGTAAGCTTTCAGGAAAAAAAAAAACATTAATACCATTTAAGTGCCTTTTAATCGAACATGAAAAATATGTTTGTCGGATTGTACGATGCAAATTTATTACGAAAGACCTTTGTGCATATATTTAATGAATACATTATAACATCACTTTCCCCTAGCATGCTAATTATAATCCTGAAAGACATTAAAAATTACAAATACTCTTTGTGAATTTTTGTATCAGTGGTACTGGTTTCGGTTAACCAAAAAAAAGTTTAATAAGTTGAATACAGGAACAAAAATCTTTTCTCAGATTACTTTTACTGAAATATTACATTTGTGTCAACAATAACGGTTTTGATTGAAATACCAATTGAGATCATTAATATATGATACAATTCGTTTATACACGCATGCAAATATATATCTCTTAACCAGAAAAACTCACACCAACGATTTTTAATAATATTCAAACTATAAAATTTGGAGTTGAATCAGATATTCAATTTCATCTTACCTACTATACATTTCTAGGAATAGTATTTGTTAAAAGCAACCGCGTGGAGACCGTGTTTGTTCCATATTAGATAAGTAGGTGGGGTTTATTTCAATACGCCGGTCACGGTTATTATTGGTGTAACGTCCCTTTATAAAAACAACACAGTGTTGAGGAAAAGTCTTTAAGGTTTCAACAGACGAAAAAATTGATGATGAAAGATTGAAATAAATTCATAAATCACATTTAAAGTTAACAAGTTGTTATTGTTGTCATTTGTTTTGTAAAGACCAATGGTAGTAGGTTCTCAATACTAACGGTATTGAAGGCTTGATCACTTTGATAAGCTACTAGTCTAAATAACACATGTTTAAGATAGTCGGTAAGATAAATTCGTTACATAGTATGAAAGTGACCTTATACGTTATATATGGGGTCAGTAAGTTTCATATGGGTATTCCTCGCTCTCACCACATATATGTGGAATAAACTCATAATAGATTCCAGGATTGAATTTTTGTATTTGCGCCAGACTAGCGTTTCGTCTACAAAAGACTCATCAGTGACGCTTGAATAAAAGAAGTTAAGAAAGCCAAATAAAGTACTGAGTTGAAAAGCAATGAGTACCGAAACTTCCCGAAAGTTTACTGACCCCATATATATCGTATTAGGTCACTAGCACACTATGTAACTAATAATATTAACTGAAAACCAATGATAATAATAAATTGCTTTACAATTTGTTTTCAAGCTTCCTGTACGGCGAAATAATCAGGTAGTCATTGGCAAGTAAATGTAGACTAGCAAGCAAAAACATTATATATATACAATCTTTCACTTAACGTTAACTGTATCTGACTGATATTATAAAACCCTATTGTTTGCCGTGCAATGTGTATAAACAGACAAATACTATCAAATATTGTGAACGTGTTTGTTCTGATGACTACAGCTTAGTTGTCAAACATGCCAAATTTTGTAAAATTGTGGGTCGTTATCAAGTATTTGTATACTATATAAATCCTTGTTGTTATTAATTAGATTAATTTTGTCGGATATACAATGTAAATTAGTATTGCCTTCCACTATAAATTTCATTAATCATTTACTTTGTTCATACAACTGTGTATGCAACCATGTCATTCCATTTATCTCATTGTAAATATGTTATTGGTGTTATTACTGTTTATATTCACATACCCCTGATGGGGTCTTGAGAAATAAAAGTTTCAAGTATTAAATATTTCATCTTACTATTATGACTTCTGGGTTTTTTACCCCTTCTGTTTTTCTTCTTTGGATTTCATTGGAAAACATCATGCTATATGGAAACATGGTATTTGTTTTCAATAATGTGTTTTGCAAATCTCGCTTTTGTTTATTATTATTTTGTACACATTCAAATTTTCCTTTTCATTCTGTTTTTGGCAAGGTTACAATGTATTAATCTTTTGTTCTAACCAAACAAGAATATTAATTTTAACTACCTTCCCCGAAATATCAAATGGTCGTTTTCTTATCATAGTTAATTAAAATATGGAATTTTGGCCTGCTCTGTATTAAAATTTCAGAACGCAATAGGGCACGATACTGCCTTCCCAAAAATATTTATTTAAAGTAAAGGATTATTGCGAACAACAATCTATTATTAACCATGTTAGACTCTTAAACAAACAGATATTTACTTCCTTGTTATGGTACGTTCTCAAGTGACCAAGTAAGTAGTAATAACAAATTTCATGTAAACAGTCACTGTAAAGTTGTTATGATCCCTTTGAAATTTAACACACGCCATCATGAGTACATCGACACGGTATCGAATAACTGTTATTTTTACAGATGACGACAAAAATGTTCCAATCACCGTAACAACATTCCCGTCCTCCATTTCATTTCACCGAATGGAATCTACCGAATTATCATCGTGTTTTGACTTACATGAGCAAGACGACGGGAGACAAATATAGACCAAAGTTACTTACCTTTCGGAGTACCTGAAGTTACCACAGTTTTTAAGAGGTTCGTGTTGCTCAGTCTTTTGTAATTATGTTATGTTTTGTATACTGCTGTTTTCGATCATGTGTTAAAATATGATTGGCCCAAGGGTTTACAATTGGTTACATAAGAACTATTAAATTGCATACATACATTTTTATAGGAGTTATACATTAGTACTGACGGTTTATGCAAGATCATTGTAGATTCAAAATCCGTAATTTTCCCTCAAATTTTCGATAGATTGATTTATTGATTGATTTGTGTCTGATTCTTATTAGTAAAGTTTAAAACAGTTTTTTTTTATCTTACTGAACCCTCTAATTTTTGTAGGGGTTCCGGTTACTCATTCTTTCGTTTTCTATGTTGAGTTTTGTATTCTGTTGTGTGTCTGTTGGTCTTTTTCTTTTTTAGCCATGTGGTTTTCAGTTTATTTTTTACTTGTGAGTTTGAATGTCTCTTCTGTATTTTCGTCTCTCTTGTATGTGATGTTAGCGGCCGGTTCGTTATTCGTTATTCGGTATAAATATCCGCCCGGCCACCAGAACCCGGTTCAAATTTCTAAATTTCTCATGTAGTAATGATAGAAAATAGATATTTAAAAGAATTCGTAAAATGATAACTATGTTAAAAAGTAGATATAAAGACAACAGTGCTCACGCTGAAATGTCTCGCCTTCTTTTCTAACCATTGATATTATGTTGATAGTCCTAAATATAAAGGTTTACTACAACTATCACATTAATTTAATTTGATCCAAGAAAATGTGGTCAAGGTCAGAAAAGCCAAATTGGACCCGGCCATTTTCACTCTGTGTTGTATTTCTATTTGTATCCATTTGATGAGTTAAGCCTTTTTCAACTGATTTTTATAGTTCATTCTTATTGTTGTAATGTTACACCACTGTCCAAGGTTAGGGGAGGATTGGGATCCCGCTAACATGTTTAACCCCGCCACATTCTGTATGTATGTGCCTGTCCCAAGTCAGGAGCCTGTAATTCAGTGGTTGTCGTTTGTTGATATGTTACATTTTTGTTTTTCGTTCATTTTTTGTACATAAATTAGGCCTTTAGTTTTCTTGTTTGAATTGTTTTACATTTGTCATTTCGGAGCCTTTTATAGCTGACTATGCGGTATGGGCTTTGCTCATTGTTGAAGGCCGTACGGTGACCTATAGTTGTTAATGTCTGTGTCATTTGGTCTCTTGTGGAGAGATGTCTCATTGGCAATTATACAACATCTTCTTTTTTATATGGAAAGACATGAACACCTTACAATCATTCCATACACCAAATATACTTTAAATATAGTTGCCCAATTGCTAATCGAAGAAACAAACTTAACCAGGAAAACTTAAGATTGATCAAAGAACCATGAAAATGAGGTCATGGTCAGCTAATAATTCCCAGACGGACATAAAGTTTTTTTTTCCAATATTCTTCATAATCATTGGTTAAGATTATTTACTGAAGAAGCAAGTGTCTTCTCGAAAATATTTCATTCAAGCTCCTATGCCAGGTCTTTCGCGATCTGATCACAATGTTTGCCCATCGTTAGTTATTCTTTCACGATCATTTCTTTCTTTTACCCGAATGACACCTGTGTTTAAGCTGTCTATATGTTCTGTGCTTATTACCATACAAAGATTTATCATCACAAAAAAATTTTTTTTTCCAATAATCCTAATTCATTATTAAGTTTGGTTTCAAGTGCATATAAATTAATAATCGCCTTTTTGAAATAGTATCATGATTTTCCCAAACATGTGAAAAAATTAATGTAGCAAGTAACTGTACATATTTTTTCCTAATAAGGCAGTTGCTTGATATATACATTTCTTTTTTGGTACATTTATTTTTTTATCCGAATTCGGAAAAGGAAACCATAAAAAAGTACTCCTATGTACAATTCATTTTCCCTTCTTATCCGAATTCGAGAAACGACCAAGACGACTTAATATTGAATATAGATGTACTTTTCCGAATTTGGATAAGGATCGTCATTGAATACTTAACTATGTGAGGTAGGTCATGTATTCTTCCTATCCGAATTTGGATATGGACAGTTAAGAGTCCTTGGTTATGTGTATTATGTATTCTATGCAAATTCGGATAACATTAGTTCTCTTCTTATGTACATTGTCTAAACTGTGATAATTCAATTATTTATTCTTCCTGTCCAAGACTAAGATAATTTAAAAATTATGCAATTTTAAAGCATAATGTTTTATAAAAGAAAGTATGTATAAATACCTTATTGTATTAAGTTTAATATCTTAAAAAAATGTTGCCTACCAACATTTTCTTATTTCAGAAATCTGTTTTTGAAATCCATTGGTTAATTACGTGTTTGAAATCTATAGATTTTTAAGTAAACAATTATTACCAGATTTAATCACATGCAAGCAGGCTAAAAAGTAAAATCACAAGAATACTGAACTCCGAGTAAAATTCAAAACGGAAAGTCCCTAATCAAATGGCAAAATCAAAGGCTCAAACACATCAAACGAATGAATAACAACTGTCATATTCCTGACTTGGTACAAGCATTTTCTTATGTAGAAAATGTTGGATTGAACCTGGTTTTAAAGCACTAAACCTCTCACTTGTATGACAGTCGCATCAAATTCGATTATATTGACAAAGATGTGTGAACAAAACAAACACTTTAGGTCAAAATGTCACAAATAGGGGTACAATAGCTTCACGAACACCACCAAAAACTAGGGGTGATCTCAGGTGCTCCGGAAGGGCAAGTAGATCCCGTTCCACATCGTGTTGTATGTTAATACAAAGCCGGTAAATAGTTTAATCGGTAGGTCACATTCGTGAAAAGGGAACGGGATTGTAGTAACGACATAAGGAACATATTCGATATCATCTGTGAAACGGATATTTCATAACGGTCAACCAACTCGTGATGGCATCTGTAAAATTATTGAAGTGATGATTTCAACTTCACCATTTGGAACTCTTGGTTAAAAATGGAACCCATGGCATTTCATCTGGTGCAATTGACATAAGGACCCACTCCAGCTACCGTCTGTGTATACCTCCATGTGCATTTTTAGTACATATATTAATTGTTTGGCTTAGGAAGTTGTTCATATGCCTTGATAAATGAAAAACTATTAAATTTTAATCATGCAAAGGATATATTTTTTGGCACCATGAAGGGCCAATCCACTTTGTCATTTTGTTTTCATAACAATTATTTGATCATTATTGATATTTATTGAATGAATTTTAGTTACAAAGTTTCTTTATATATAATAGTTGAAGAAGAAACGAAAATATTTTTTTTTGAAAAGTGTTTTATCTTCAAAGGAAAATAATCTCAAAAGTGGATTGTGACTTTTTGTCCTGTGACTTTTTGTCCGTGACCTTTTGTCTGTGACTTTTTGTCCTGTGATTTTTTGTCCTACATTCGCATTTGTAGTCCTCTGTATGTATGGTAGAAAAAAAAATCGAAAAAATGTTCTTTTTTAGTGAATTTTACTTCTTACTAGAGTGTTCGTTTGTTTTTGTACATTGAAATATTATGTTTCAAAAGTCAATCTAAGATTGCATTTTATTGATTAAAAATCTATAAGGTATAAAGTGAAAGGATTTAGGGATTGTAGGCCTACTTTAGAGTAAATGAATCATATGTCCTTCAAGAATACATTCTCATAAGTTATGTTTGTAAATTGAAACTGGAAAATGGTTGTTTTATAATTTTTGAAACTGGTTAAAAATAATTTGCAACATGCAAGACAAGGATATAAATTTAAATATGAGAAATACATTTGTGAGAATTTTAAGAGCAACTTCGCCAGTTCTTTTTGGAGACAGACATTCGATTATGCCAAAGTTAGTAAAATCGGGAACATACATGTATACATATAAGATATACTGTTCTCAAGTTAAATCACCTTGATAATTCATAACAAAATTAAAATCTCCATATCAATCAATATCATTCAGAACAACTTGTCCTCTGACATAAGTTAAATCCCCCTGACGCCTCCATGGCGTTGTCAGTTTATTTTCGATAAATGCGTCTAAATGTCCCTTTTGTATCTTTCCCACCTCTTTGACAAAATGGGTTTAACTTCCACTTCTTTGTCATACTTTTGCGATGAAGCTGACATTCTTCACACATGGACTTATACAAACTGATGGCGTTAAGAGTCACAATTTTATATTTCTGTGTTTCTCTTTTTTGTGAGTTTTTCAAGACCTCAACTTGAGCTTATACCTCAGTCCTGCTGCAACAAAACTGTAATATACAGGTCATAAAACAGTTATTCCACCTTTTCTGTAGCAAATATGAATACCCATTCAGGTCTAGAATACATGTATATGTTTATTCGATGTTTAGTGACTATTGACATATGGATAGTGTCGCATAAGAAGCCGCGAACACTTATCCTCACAAAGCACCTGGTTCTTATTTGCAAACAGACAAACACAGACGGACATTATTATTACTGGGAAGATTTGGTGTTTTCTAAGTTGATTTTTTCAATCTGTTTACTGCTATCTATAATACTAAAATAACGAGGTCCAATTTGTTAGCCGTCATGTGGTAAAAACGACAAATCAAAGAATTCAACTTTATATTTAGCTAATATAGGACAATGGTGTTGATTAAAAATTACACCATTCCAGACACTTTTGTTTTCCACATAATTAATATTGCCAATAATTAACAAGTTCCGGGTCGAATCCGATACCGATACCAATAGTATAACACCTGTTACCTATTACCTTATCTGTACGTTCTGCATCTGACAGGCTCACCACCAAACGGTGTATGAAGGATTTGCTTTAAACACGGGTCATAATCACAGGGTTGACACTATTAAATTCAATCATTGTCACATTGTTTCCTATTGTAGTATTTCAATCAGCATGACTTTATAATATACAATATGAAAACTAAAAATCTAGACTTAAAATAAGGCGTATAGGTACAGTTTCCAATTTGTTAGCCGGCATGACGTAAAAACGGCGAATCAAAAATTTAACTTATATAGGACAATGCTGTTGATTACAAATTACTCCATTCCAGGCCCGTTTGTTTTCCAAATAATTAATATTACCAATAATTGATAAGTTCCAGATCGACGGGTTCAAACAGAAAGATTTTGAAAGCAGAGAAAACTGGCGCAAGGAGAAGCTCGTGGATTCAGGCAATCAGAAGAGACCCTGGACCACTATTCAATGTAAGTTTATGAATTGATTGAATCATCGTTGTTTAACCCGCAGAATCTTCAAAACTATTTGCTACCGCTATATCAACACACACACGGACTTTTTTCTTTCACATAAAATCAAAAACAAAAAAAGTAATAATAAGATATTGTTTATTTTTTGTAAACAGAAGTTGTAACGTCTGGTGACCTTTTTTCGTCCTACCTTTATTTCATTTATTTTTATCGCACATCTGTATATAATAATGTGTTTTCAGGTTTCTATAAATAAAACTGAACAACAACACTGCATACTTTTTCGAATGAGAAATGTTGAAGTGTGCTATAAAAGACTTTAAATACAGATTCCATTCAATGTGCATGTGTACATGTTTAACAATATACAAAAATCAGTATAATTGTATTTTTTTACTCCTGCAGTGCCACAACAAAAATACAAATTATTATAAATGAGAACAGTCTTAAGTATAGATAGTCATTAATATAAAAAAATAATATAATTTGCTCAGCTGTGATTCAATCAGGATCCATGTACACATGTATTACCTAAACCAATTAAAAAACAGTTCATTTTTTATAAAACACAACCAATTACACTTATCATTTGGACATCTCTGTAATTCGCAATATAAATAATTATAACAGCTTTTAACTATATAAGTATTTAGCTATTTAAACCAATATTTGAAAATCCTGCATTTTCTCATAAAAATAAGAGGCAATCTACCTATTTTTTTATTTACCATAACATTGTTAGTAGATAATTTAACACCAAGTATATTCTTACAATAGTTCATGGGAACTCTTTCTATGGCCGGGGCTTTGTGTGCACCCCATATTTCACTTGCATAACTCAATAAAGAATTGATATAAGTATCAAAAAGAGATAACAAAGTGACATAGTTTAAATACATACTTTTGACATTTCTTCTTAAAGCAAACATTGCTTTTCTACCTTGTTCCAACAGTTTCTGTTGTAACATATTATTTTTCCTATTAAAATTCAACAGTAAACTAAGGTAGGTACAATTATCAACAACTTCACTTTTTTCATTATCAGAATACCATTTCTCATCAACATGAACTCTACCACCTATTCTATATGCTACAACTTTAGTTTTATTTATATTAACACTCAATGACCACTGTGATGTATATTCAAATAATGTATGAAGCATATTTTGTAACCCTAAAACAGATTCTGAGGAAATAACTATATAATCAGCATAAATAAGTAGGAACAAATTAAAGTCTTTTATCTCATATGGAATACTATTATTATTAATGAAAGCAATTTCATAATCGTTAACATAAAATGAAAAAAGTATGGGAGATAACACATCTCCCTGCATCAAGCCCATTCATTTGTGAAGTAATCAGAAATAAAAATATCAACACATACACACAAGTAGACACAGTAGTATACATAGATTTAATAACAGTTAGAAGTTTACCTTAGATTTAGTTGTACATGTGAAAACGCATGGTCCGAAAAAGTTGTAAAGTTTGACACAATAAACCGTTTTATATTCGGAAAATAAAATAAAGGTACAAAAGAGTAGTCCAGATCGCTCATTCCGTTTGCGCTACAGTATGTGAAGTCATTTGAAAATCCGTTTGTGTGCCAACCATTCATTATCCTCAAGCCTGATCATTTACACATACTAATTAATTTAGGTCCCTAACTGTTTGTATTCAAATCAGGGTTGACTAGTATCGGAACACTAACAGCTACATATTCAAAAGCGCAACAAACTCGGTTCTTTACAGTAAACCGAATATCATAATTTTCCACAAATTCAGCTAACGTCCCAGTTTGACTATTCATATCGCCAAGAATAAAAACGTGACCAGGTTCAGAGTATAACTCAATACTGTTTTCTAATTCCTTATATAAATCACAGACATATAACTTATAGTATTTAGATTTTGGTGAGGGCAATGTAAACACAACTGTGTTCTGTGTTTACATTGCCCCCATCAAATCTAAATACTATGCTGTGCTGTTACAAATAATAAGTTTTAGACTCTATTATATGGTTGAATTTTAAGAAGGGTATATTAACCAAAGACAAAACTGTATACATTTTTGTCTTTTATTAATATACCCTTCTTAATATTCAACCATATCATTGAGTCTAAAATACATGTTTCAATAGCAATAACAGTAGAAAAACATTTTTTAATCGAAATCACACTACCTATTCTTGAATAGATTTAGTCTTAAATCTCGGATATAAATGACAATATATAGGTATATTAAAAAAAATCCTTTTCAAACCAACATTCCGTAAGGAAAACAAGATAGGTTGTACATATAAAATAAACAAATGCTTTATCATCAAGTTTTGTTTGTAAGCCACCATTTACATTGCAAGAGATAATTTTTAAATTATCAGTACAAATGTTGGATAAAACATAAATTGAAAGTCCTTCAACGTTATCCTAGTCTTTGTTGTTCTTTATCTATTTGACCTCGGTTTGTTCGTTGTCAATCTCCGATACTACAGTTGGGTGCTGAGCCATTGTCGTTACTACTAACCATGCCATTCGGCTTTGATTTCCCCGAACAAGCACCATTAGGAAATGCAAATGTTGCCTCTTTTATAAATTGTTTTTATGTTTCAAAGGGTCGAAAATATCCACACAATATAAAGCTTGTCCTTGAGCAACGCCGCCTCGACATTTTGATTTCGGGCTTCCTTTTTAAATTGGAATCAACTTTTTTCGTTTATCCAGTATATCAGATGGATACTGCTCACTAAGACTGAAAGGAGACCCCTTTAACTCATAAGCAGATTGGCGTTCTTTTCACCGGTCAATCAACCTTTCAAAAGATGCAATTATGGGTCGCGGTTTGAATTTGCTGTTCATGCGTCGGATATTAACTAATTTAATTTCAAATTTAATGTTCATTTCAGAACGAATAAACCCTTTTAATAGACTGTCGGTGTTTTCACCTGGTTGCTCAACGACTCCATAGAACACCAAGTTATGTTTCAGAGATTTATATTGCAGATCTGTCACGGTTGATTTCAGTTCTTCATTTTTGTTTTGTATATATTCTAGTTCTTTCTTTATTTTAGACCCTTTTCCTGGACTACCTGACCCACCAGCGGCAATAGCTGCCCACATGGTATCCTTCTCTACACATAACTCGTCAAGCTTTATCTTACGAGAATCGGATGTATTTTGAATTTCAGTCATTTGAGAAGTAAGTTTTCAATACCGGTTTCAGTTTTTTTTTAACTCGATTATACAAGTTCTCCATATTTTCACAAAAACTTTCCAATTTGTCGATTTTTTTGTCCATATTTTCTAAATTACTTTGCCGGCTATCTATCGTCATGATATATTGCATAATATGACTGAGCACGTTGTTATCAGCCACTAGGTGGAGGCCAACTATACGACGAATATGGTCTGAGGCTGGATGGGGCAGGAAAAGGGGGGCGGGTACGGGTATTGATGCGGTATACTGGTTTGCATATTGTAGGCATGTTTCTGGTTATCCGGTGTCTTTTCGGACGAATAGAATGAACACTGGTGTTGTTTTTTGAAAGTGTTTTAGTTTTTTGAAAGTTTTTTTGATCCTTTTTTATAAGGTTGTTGTGATGGTGAATCAAATGAAGAGTCTGCATTTTTTGACAAATCTTCCAATTTACTCTTTTTATTTGCATTTGCACTTGTTTCTGTTGATAGGTTAACAAAGATTGGAAAAAATAAGTTCAATACCAAAGACTGCTAAAAAATTAGTAACAATGTTGACACGGGTACAATGTAAACAATCAATTGTTGACTTCAGTGTTTGGGTGTACTCGAATGTTCGAAATTTGTGATCGATAACAAACTAACCTTTGCTAGGTAAACAAGAAATAACGATGGTTTTTAGAAAGTCTTTCAATATACTGTATCTTCCTAATAGAATGAACATCTATGAGTTTTGTCGTGTAAATATTATTACAAACAACAACAAACTGTTTTTTTGTATCACCGCAAAACTACACACGACCTTCACTACCCTTGTCACATGACCCGCCCCTAACGCTGTTGCTGTTCTCTGCTCAGATACATTAAATGACTTGTAGATGGAAAAAACTAAGTATTGTGATTAAAGAAAATTTGACATTTTCTTAATTCGTATGTAGCCCTTATCGCAATGGAACTAAAACTGTGCACTTTAATGTATTAATTCGTAGATGTTTTAAAGTATTAAGTATACCAAAAGTGAACTACTATTGATAGTTTTGTTACTATATTTTCAACTCCAGGACATTGCATTGAGTACTTGTTTAGCTTCGTCGACGACCTTTCTTCCTTTAGCACAACCATTACATATATAACCGAACATTGAAGACGTTTCAAACACCTGCAAGCAATTTTTAATTCCTAATTATTAATTTTCACATTTTTTCGAGAAAATATTTGCCTTGGTATCAGTTGATATATTTTGAAACTTCGGTCTTCTTGTAAGCGTATCATATTTGAATTTACTAGCCTTTTCAATGCATGCAGTTAAAAATTTCGAAAGTGTGTAGAGTTTAGAAATCAAAATTTCCCCAATAATCTCATCTGGATTAAAATATTCCTTTTCGTTCATGCACTTCGCTAATTCCTCATCAATTTTCAGCAACAATGTTTCAGTCTGGTAATCATGTGCCAATGGCAAAATAAGACGAGCTATTTTTTCTGTAAAAGGAAGTTCTGTACATGCTTTTAAAATATTCATAACGTAGTATAGGCTGTAAATATGGGAAGATGCTCGTGACAAAACTGTTGGAAATACACCATGACAGAGAACCACGAAATGATTTTACCTTTCTAATCTTTTCAATGAAGAATATTTTGCAATGAGCATTTTGTCTTGAAAAAAGTGACCCCTTACATAACCTTAAAGGTAAAAACTTTAATGGAATAGGATATGATTTGATGAAACTGCATTTGTTTTTGTGAATAAATTAAACAATGTTTTTTTGAATGCTTTGTTTAAATTCTAATATTTTACTGTCCTATGATGTAATTTTTGAAAACAAATACCAACCAGAAACCTTTTTTTATGTGCTGCATTATTTATTATTGTATAAGATATTGTAATAAGAAACCTTGTGAAGCCATTTAATCCAATGTTCCATTATTTACCACGAAACTATCGTCTGCCATGATAGAATATTTTGTTTGTATGATGATTGCAAAACTTTTTGATTCATTATTTCACAAATAAGTACCGGGTATATGCCACATATTTCAGTTGAAGTGACTCCGCAAATTTCCATACCTATTATATATATATTCACAGAAGCAAGGGTTCGAATCCCGCTGAGGGATGAAAAAAAAAATGTGCTAATGCAAATTTGAAGATCTAACATTGTTAAGCTAAATTTGAGACGAATTATATATACATTATGGTGTTAGCCCTGTAAACCACGTGTTATCCGATGGAGAATGTCTCTCATAAAGTTGTCACATGTTAAGACTTGTATAATAAAATTAAAATGTGATGTCCGGCATGGTAAGTAACATTACGACAGAAAAAAACAGCTGATCTGAAAGGTACACCATCTACTTGTCACTATACATCATGTACTGTATTACAACCCTAAATAAAGCCGACGAGGAAAGGCATTACTCGACCAACGAAAGCTATATTTTTATAAAGTCTAGTTGGTCGAGTGGTCTAGAAAGATACGCGGAAGTTAACAAACTTTGACCGTGGTGTTTTGTGGAATGAACAGTTATTGAAAAAAAAACAAGATCCGTTTCATGCGTGAATTAATTCTTTAATTATAGTTTTTATGATGTATCAACATTTGGGTTTGGAAACCAACCGCTTTTTGTTAGGACTTAAAACATTAGTTAAATAGAACATTTGCGTATGTTTACATTTTGTGTTTTTTCTTGTAATAGTTCAAATGTTGTTTTATTGTTTTATATATAAAAATGAAAATGTAAAAAAAAAGTAAGATACATCTTTACAATAAGTTTATAATATGACATTCTGAAAAGTTACAGTAAATGAGCAATTCGTACATTTTTCTTTTCAGAAAAAATGACAGTAATTGATATCAATGTTTGATATATGTGTAATTGTAATTGTAACCTGTGATATGTATATAGAAGTGTGATTACAATAAAGATAAAAAAAAAAGGCCGCTGGACACGGTGCAGACGGTGTTGCCACGCTGTCACAGAAGCAACGATTCGAATCCCGCTGAGGGAAGAACTAAAATATGCTATTGCAAATTTGAAGATCTAACATTGTTTTGGACTAAATTTGAGGTGAATTATATATATATATATATATATATTTTCAATTTAGACTTGTTTATATTTTTTCATTTGGGCTTGTATTATATTTGCATTCGGGTTTATATGATCTGTTCATCCTATTTTGACTCTTTCAAAATTCAAGAGTCTATCCTAAATTGAGGTAAATTATATGGCCTTCCAAATACCGTTTCGATTCCTAACATCACTGAAGAGACATTAATTGTCGAAATCCGGATATGGTGTACAAATTTTTGCACCTCATAATTGCGCTATACCATCTTTTCCGCAAGTTTATTGTTTTCTGTTTGGTAATCAATTGATAATAAGATCTATTTTGTTACATCTTGTGATCCGTTTATTTGGCAATCGCCAGTGGCAGTCATCAGGGTTTAAGAACATCAATTGTTCGACCTGCTAGTCAAATGCGTTTTGTTAAAATATACTTTTTCACTCATTTGGTCTTTTGGAAAATGTTGTTTGTGCTGTATTTAGACCTTTCTACCAAGAAATTTGTTTTGCATGCACACGTATAAAAATTGCGGTTTTTATCCAACGCAATCATAGGTTAGAACGTTGTTTTCAATTTAGACTTGTTTATATATATACATAGCACAAACAACATTTTCCAAAAAACCAAATGAGTGAAAAAGTATATTTTAACAAAACGCATTTGACTAGCAGGTCGAACAACTGATGTTCTTAAACCCTGCTGACTGCCAGTGGAGATTGCCAAATAAACGGATCACAAGATGTAAAAAAATAGATCTTATTATTAATGTATTACCAAACAACAGAAAACAATAAACTTGCGGGAAAGATGGTATACCGCAAACACGAGGTGCAAATATTTGTACACCATATCCGGATTTCGACAATTAATGTCTCTTCAGTCATGTTAGGAATCGAAACGGTATTTAGAAGGCCATATAATTTACCTCATTTTAGGATAGACTCTTGATTTTGAAAGAGTCAAAATAGGATGAACGGATCATATAAACCCGAAGGCAAATATAATACAAGCCCAAACGAAAAAATATAAACAAGTGTAAATTGAAAACACGTTCAAACCTATGATTGCGTTGGACAAAAACCGTAATTTTTATACGTGTGCATGCAAAACAAATTTCTTGGTAGAGGGGTCTAAATACAGCACAATCAACATTTTCTAAAAGACCAAATGAGTGAAAAAGTATATTTTAACAAAACGCATTTGACTAGCAGGTCGAACAACTGATGTTCTTAAACCCTGCTGACTGTCATTGAAGATTGCCAAATAAACGAATCACAAGATGTAACAAAATAGATCTTATTATGAATTTATTACCAAACAGAAAACAATAAACTTGCGGAAAAGATGGTATACCGAAAATACGGGGTGCAAATTTTTGTACACCATATCCGGATTTCGACAATTAATGTCTCTTCAGTGATGTTAGGAATCGAAACGGTATTTGGAAGGCCATATAATTTAGCTCAATTAAGGAGAGACTCTTGAATTGTGAAAGAGTCAAAATAGGATGAACGGATCATATAAACCCGAAGGCAAATATAATACAAGCCCAAACGAAAAAATATAAACAAGTCTAAATTGAAAACAACGTTCAAACCTATGATTGCGTTGGATAAAAACCGCAGTTTTTATACGTGTGCATGCAAAACAAATTTCTTGGTAGAGGGTTCTAAATACAGCACAAACAACATTTTCTAAAAGACCAAATGAGTGAAAAAGTATATTTTAACAAAATGCATTTGACTAGCAGGTCGAACAACTGATGTTCTTAAACCCTGATGACTGCCATTGGCGATTCCTAAATAAACAGATCACAAGATGTAACAAAATAGATCTTATTATTAATTTATTACCAAACAGAAAACAATAAACTTGCGGAAAAGATTGTATACCGCAAACACGAGGTGAAAATATTTGTACACCATATCCGGATTGGACAATTAATGTCTCTTCAGTGATGTTAGGAATCGAAACGGTATTTGGAAGGCCATATAGTTTACCTCAATTTAGGATAGACTCCTGAATTTTGAAAGTGTCAAAATAGGATGAACGAATCATATAAACCCGAAGGCAAATATAATACAAGCCCAAACGAAAAAATATAAACAAGTCTTAATTGAAAACAACGTTCAAACCTATGAATCCGCTGGATAAAAACCGCAATTTTTATACGTGTGCATGCAAAACAAATTTCTTGGTAGAGGGGTCTAAATACAGCACAAACAACATTTTTAAAAAGACCAAATGAGTGATCCGTTTATTTGGCAATCGCCAATGGCAGTCAGCAGGGTTTAAGAACATCCGTTGCTGATTTTTATCGAACGCAATCATAGTTTTGAACGTTGTTTTCAATTTAGACTTGACCGTCACAAGGCTAGGGTAAGTTGATGATCCAGCATCTAAAAAATGTAAACTGCTGATGGGTAAAATGGCAATCCTGTATTAAACATTCAAAGTTTCAGTATTAATTTTATATAATGATTACAAGAAATTAATTAATACATATAAATATCTTAAATCTATTTTTTAAGGAATGAGAATACTGGTATACCAATATATGCTAAAATTAAAACTAGGTGTCATTTCATGTTTTGGTCACGCCATCTGTTTTCCATATTGAAGTGACATTCATCAGACATACATTGTATTTACTATTGTACAAAAAGACACAGCCTAAATCATTGTAGTCCAAATAATTATGGGGGGAAAAATGATAGTATAGGGAATCACTAATGCATGACTGGAGCTGCCCCCTCCTTAGAAAAGTTCTAGATCCACCACTGGTTATACATGTAAATATTTGGTATAAAATAGTAAATAATAGTTTAATATACATGTACATGTATTTTTGTTATGGATATGAATTAAATACTAGATGAATCATAAGAAATATTATTGCCATTTACGATGATTTATAAAATTGAAAGAAAGACAACAATGGTATCTGAAAAAGCAAAGCATACAGAAAATGATGAACAAGAACTTATGTCAATTTGATAAAATAATGTCTTAATTTTAAGAGAGGCGAAAAATACCATAAGTAAATTCAAACTCACAAGTCAAAAACAAACGGACAATGCCATGTATAGTATCTAAAAAAACAAATCATACTGAAATGCAAAATTTGTAAATTATGAACTAGAAATTATGTCAATTTAATCAAATTGTGTCTTATGTTTTAAGAGAGTCGAAAGATACCAAAGGGATATTCAAACCCTTTAGTCGAAAACAAACGAACAATGTCATGGCAAAAAAACGAAAAACGACGAAAAGACAAACAATACACATAACACAACAAAAAAAACTTACAAGAATGAGCATCACGAACCCAACCAACAACGGCAGTGATTTTATGTGCTTCGGGAGGATAAGCAAATCCTGCTCCACATGTTGCACCCGTCGTGTTGCTCGTGTAAGTACAAACCCGGTATTATGTCTAGTTCGGTAGGTCACATTCCGGAAAAGAAAATCGGATTGTGGTTACGGCAATTAAAACATTATCGTCACATGTGGATCAGGATCTATTTCCCCTTCCGGAGAATCCGCGCTTTTTGGTGGGGTTTGTATTACTCAGTCTTTAGTTTTATATGTTGTGTTTTGTGTACTGATGTTTGTTTTTCGGTTTTTTTTCTTCCTTTTTTTGCCATGGCGTCGTCAGTTAATTTTCGACTTTTGAGTTTGAATATCCCTTTGGTGTCTTTCACCTCTCTTTTATCACTTGTCATCAGTGTAACGGTCATCCAACTCGTGATGGCATCCATAAATTTTTCGAACGGATAACTTTTAACTTCACTACTTTGACTCTTAGTTCAATAGCTTCCTTGTAAGCAGCAACCTTCTATCAAAGAAAACATGATATAATATTCAAGCCCTGGAATATAGAATCACCTGGTGATATATAATCCATATGCAGGCGCTGCTGGAATGTTGCTACATAGAAATAAAATGTTCACAATAAGAGAGCTGTAATCATCACTTTATTCGTTAAGTTTTGTTCTCAACTGACCCTCATTGTCAATTTCAAGATAAAATTCAAGTTATGAGGCACACTTAACAGTATCTGTTGTATCTTTTTTTTTAAGTTCGATTGGATAGATGCGTTCAACATAGTAACCGATCTTTGAATTATGAATTATTTAGTGAGAGGAAAACATCTTTATAGCAGAAAGTGAAGTTAATGATAATGATATCTTCTTTTCAATTCGGCCTAAAAAAAAAACAAGTTGGCAGAAAGAGGAGCACAGTTGGTTCCCATGGGTCTGTTTGTTGAAAAACACGTCCTCCAACAGTAATAAATATGTTGTCAATCCAAAAATCAATCATCTTGATAATGTCAGTTTCAGAGAATTTTTTGTTTGAATCAGAGTCAAAGTAAGAATTGAAAAAAGTGGAAAAACAGGTTTTGTGGAACACTTGGAAACCCAGCAATATAACGTTGCATGAAAGGGCACATATGTAATTTAGGAATCCAATACAGTGAAGGCAGATCAAGTTCTTCAATTTTGGTTGAAATTCCAAAGACCGTATAACAGACCTATGATCATTCAGGATTTCCTCCTTAGTCAGCGTAGTGGGGGTATATGTTGAGCTTCTTAGTGAATCGTCAATATATAATTCTTTTATCAAGCAGTTAATGTAATGTGATTTACAAACAAAACGACGTAGTTTAGGGCTTTATCTGTTGGATATCTACTGGTACAACAATATGTTTGTCATGGAGTTAGAACAAGTGCTTAGCATCATTAGGGTTTTAAACGATCGATGTAACATATGTTACATAGACCCATGCAGTTTTTTAATTATAATTTTTATCAGCGTTCTCACAATCTCATGGTCATATTTCTCTTTCCCAACCGGAACTTTGCCGTGAGTAATAATCTCTTTTGTATCTAGAATATGAACACAACAATAATCATTTACATAATATCCTTTCACAGAAGAAGAAGCTCAACTTATTTGCCATTGGCAACCAATTACTTTATTGACACATTGTTGTCAAAAATCGACCAAAAAGTTCGCTATGACAGAAAAGAAATTTGAAGAAATTACATATCCATTAAATTCCACAGATGAGTTAATTGACAATATTCTGAAAGCTATATTATACAAGCAACCAAATTATTTAACAGCATGCATTAAAATGTATATACATTCTTGTATAAAGTGTTTATAAAAAGACCGAAGTTCGATTTTATTTCAGGTGATACTAAGTCAAAATTTTATTGATGATATGTGAAGAACTGGAATTAGGGATTGATAAATGCTTGCGAATATAGAGGAGGCAAGATATCCAAAGTTTCGATATTTCGATTGTGATGATAGAAAAACGGTCGAAGAAATCAGAAACATACTGAGCTCAAAGGAGTTAAATAAGTCCAGACCATTAGATTAATGACGATGATAATGCATACTAATTTACCGCTGGAAAATATATTAGTAAACAAAATGATCCACACGAAGCGAAACGTTATGGGCTTCTATTTTTGTATTTGTGAATTATGCGAGAACAATGGCCATACTCTTGTTATACAAAATAAAGCATTTTTCAATTTAAAGCGTAAAATACTTAATGTATGACGTCCTCAATCACTTCAATGCTCGGATGTAAAAATAATGTTATCTAGACTACAAAATTAATATATTCGTATAAAGTGTAAAGAAGTCAAAATCATTCAATTACTCAACTTTTCTTGAATTTGTCCAATCAACACTATTGTGTTTAAAAAATAAGTCATTGTTGATTTTTAAAACAACCGTTGTCAACATCACATTCCTAAAATACATATTTGAACCGCAGCTACCCAGAAGCATCATATTTATAATCATATATCAATTACACAATAAGGCCATGAGTGTTTGACAAAAACAACAGTGTAAAAGGGTTCAAAAGAATAAAAAGAGACAGATGATACAAAGAGGGTATTAAAAAATCAAAGGTCGAAGAAAACAGACAACACTATGACCAACAAGAAACAACAAACAGATAAACATCTGTTCATAAAAAATGCAATTATATTCCTCATTACAGCAATTTGTTTTTCTATATAGCTTGAAGATATCGTTTTCAAGCTTCATATGAGCATGCTTTACCGCGTGATGCTTTTTTCACATATATCGCTGAATTCCTGAATACTTATATATTCGAATACATCATGGCAATGTGTAAAATGTTCGACGCAACTTTCTTCGGTTTCCAAAAAATTTAGTATGTGATGCGTTTTCACATCCATTGTTCACCCACTGTCTATTTACCTATATTACATGAAGCATTAGTATCATTAGTAAGAAAACACTTACAGAAACTGTGAAGGCCGTAGCCGTAAAGGAGGCAAATGAGGCAAATGCCTCACTTTGGAAAAGACGATCAAACTTGAGAAACATCTATTTTCGACAAAGTTTGGTACACTAATTTATTAATATACGAGGTTTAAACAATACATCAGTATCATTTATTACAATGCTTTTCCATTCAGCAGCAACAATGAGAGCTTTACCCACACCGGTCACCGATAAACATACTGTTTCGGATACCATTCCTGTGGAAAACAAAACATAACTTGCAAAAAGAAGGATTCACTGAAGAGAATCATTGACGACTCTTTTATTAGACAACTTGCTCTCATTTAAAAGGGTTAGCAGTTTTAAAAAAGTTGACTTACATTTGACGAATTTGTTGTGTGAAATGAAGAAATTTATTGCAGTTTGAAAATTATTCTGCAAAGCCCTAACTAGTATTTTTTTAAGAAACTGAAAGCTATTTGAAGACCAATCAAACCACACGTTTTGATTATTGGCTATCATATTCAGGAAACATTAAATCTTATCTTATTTATCCACAGTTGCAACCTTGCTTTAAAATCTATAGAACCAGTTTGAAATCTCAAATGTATACTTTCACCAATTTGTTTGTTCGAACAAATTCGCCTTCGTATGTGTAATCTATTCCTTTTGGCAAATTCACCAAAATGCGGAAAGGGGATATTTGTGTTTTGTTTCACAATTGCCTGATAGATAGAAGAAAGCAGAAATAAACCAGGCCCAAATGACTGAGAAATTGAAACAAAATGTTTTGAGGCTATCGCCTGTATGAGGATTACCGATCTAAACATTGAGTTAAATGATTTGTTACTTAGCTGTCATATTTTGCAATTTTACAGCATGTGTTATGAATACTTACAATCACTTCTGTTGCAAATTTGACCGCGTTACACTTTGTTAATCCTTATTTCCTTTAAAACTGATGAACGAAACTCCAACAAATTTGAACAGCATCTGATAAAGAACATGAAGTTGTGCACTTGCTATTGTAACTTTTGATCTGAGTGATTTTATGGGTTACTTTACTAAAACCCAAACCATGTACTGACACATGTCATTCCGCCCAAAAAATGAGATGGCTGGCGACATACATCTTCCTTGGAAGACTTAGTTTGTCAAGAAAACTCAATCATCTCTTATATAATTGATTAGACAATTGCTAATGTATTCTTACAAACAACAAACCGGTTTTCATTATTAAACATTTACTTCAAAGAATTTTAACACATTGACAAGAAAGTTTGAATTAATAGAAATTCATCGCCCCAACGCTATAGAATATCAATCTGTCTCTGTGAATTTTTTTATACATGTACTCTTTAGAACTCAAATGCATATTCATGAATCTACCGTTTCAATGAAATCCCATTCTTGCATTTAACACTCTTTGAGGTTGCCTTAAAAATTCGAATTTCCAGATTTAACTGAGATTGTTTAACAGATTTATCGAATTCCAGTAAGGAACCAATAGATTAGTCACAGGTGAAAAAAGATAGTACTAATGCGGTATGTAGGAAGTCTTCAAGAAACAACAAATATTGCTGACAGACTTATATACAAAGTTTTTTATAGTATATATTTAAAATTTATTTTTTCTCTGTCTTTGACCCACTCTCTAATATCTCTTGTGAGCACTCTTATTATGTTAAAGGCGCCTAAAAAACAGGGAACGAACTGCAATGGCTGGTGATATAGTTTGTAGGCTTGCTATGCTCCGATGTCCATAGAAATTTGTATGAAATTAACAGGGAAATAGGTATTTGAAATTTGATAGTTCTAGCTTCTGTAGAATAGGGAGGTTTTAGATGACAAGAGATTTATTTCCAGATTGACACTTGGCAGTTTGTTATTACTTTTTGTTGACACAAATAGTTAGAAATAAACACATAGTTTATGTTAGTTCATGGTATTTCTTGTTATAATGCATCAACCATTCCCTTAGTGTTCTGCCAGGATCCCGTATGCCTCAATTCTTTCAGGAGTTCGCTACGGCCGTGAGACGAGTTTATCTTGGGTTTTTTTTTTCTGCAAATAGATGTTAAATTTCCATTAACCAAAGCTTCACACCTTCTAAATCTGATGTCAACTGATAATGTACTATAAATTCAACAATATACTTCATGTATTAAAGCATGTTTTCATTTTGCATACGCCATGATAATACCACTGAATTTATGTCAGAGATCGTCGTGATTAAGTACTTATCATATTGAATACAGAAAAGTGATCTAGACCAATGAAATTGTTTCTTCATTTTCAAGAATGTCTATAAATTCATTATAGATACTAGGCTTAAAGTTTTGTTAGCAACACGAGCGTTTCGTTAACAAAAGACTCATCAGTGACTCTCATACAAAAAAAAATAAATGGCAAAATAAAGAACGAAGTTGAAGAGCATTGGGGCCCAAAATTGTGAAAGGCTTTGCAAAATACAGCTAAGGTAATCTATCCCTGGGATAGACGATCCGTAGTATTTTGAAAAATTTATAAAGTTTTGTAAACAGTTAATTTATAATTATGACCAAATCAATGATAATTCATGTAAACACAGAAGTATGTAAAACATGTTATAGTGAGGAGTTATACTATTGTTGTTTACTTACAGTTCAAAACAAATAATTTTATAGGAGAGTTGTAACTGCGCCGAGGCATATTTTCAGCTTGAGAGGATATGATTATTATTGACACTGGTTTAAAATTAATTTGAAGTTTACCACTGACAGTGCAGCAACATTTGTATCATTATGTTATTATATGAATATAGATTCAAAATTACTAAAAGCCTTAAAGACTAAGCAAATAACAAAGCAATACCAAATAGGAAAACATGTCATAAACTAAATATTACATATATGTTGAACTATTACGTTATTATTATTCAGGTTACTTTTAAGTCCGCGGTGTGTAAGTTGAGCCATTTCAAATACTCCAATACAATTTAAACAGGAAGATAGATTAACTTTAATATAAATGCATAGATTATTGCTTTTCCTTTTTATTTGAATATTTGAATGTTATTCAATTAACTTACATAATTAAGTAGTATTTGATGTAAAAAGGGAGAGTGGTCGTTGAATAAAATGTAGTTGTATCTCAAATTTAGAATTTTATTAATTTGCGCTGTAAATAAACAAACAAACAAAACACACACTAACATTACATGATTGACATGCATACTCACAATTAGGAAACATATAATTCCTACTAATTTATCAACACTGGTCTAAAACACAAATTAAATTATAGGAAATTCCTTACAACTTTAAAACTAATCCTTAAATGAAATAAATGAAATTCCTCAAAAGAAAGTAATGTATCAATTATAAACATTGAAATGACCTTGCAAAAAAATATTGATTTAAACCAAATAAGAAGTCAATTGATCACTGAGCACTTTACAATATTCTAATTTCTTCATGATAATTATTCGCTTTCGTTCGTACTTAATCCATGAAGAAAGAGATAGCCATACGCATACGAATATTTCCCGAAAAGGTTACTTCATAAAAACGTTTTAGTGTCCACGTAAATCTCTACTATACGTATTTCTTTTTCGCCCAGTGTGTCATACATACTGCTGGTAGATTATCAGCGTCATATAGTACCATCAGCTCAGTAATAAGTCCTTCAGTACAAACATGATTTAAATAACATTCTGAATTCTTAATTCCCCTTTAAAAAATAATTATGTCATTGAAATCAAACTAAAGTTGAAACTCTCTGAACAAAAATTGATCTTGACACGTTTTTGCTACCGTTTAGAAACGATTGTTTTCTATGCTCTTAGACATTTTATGTTCCAGCTGTTTGGTCATGAGTGTGCCCGATTAAGGTTATTCCATACAACAGCTAATTTTTCAGTTCTGATGAATCACATTTAAAATAAAAGCACTCTTTAATCGAAGTGAAGCCGTTGCTCATGTTGAAGCAGTCTTCCTCATAACTCTGTTGGATCAGTTTTGTGTAAGGAGCACGTCCTTGTTAATGAAGTCTGAATAGTGTGAACATGCATGATCGTAACGAATTGACTGAGATATGTAAAAGCCATACGATGGAAAATGTATGTTACTACTGAAAATGGGAAGCTGTCAATTGGAAAGTTGAACTCAACGTTTGTCATAAATTCTACTTTGAAGTTGTTCATCTTTGTCAATATCGAGGAAAATATCAAGATATGATGCAGACCTTCTACTTTTGTGTAGTATCCTTAATTTCATGTCAGTGGGATATATGAGAA